CTGACCTGCCTCGCTACAGGGAGGGGGCACCCAGCTGCCACGGGGCTGGCAGGCACAGGGGATGAGGGGGAACAGCAGGGCCAGGAGTGTATTATGGGATGGATTTCATTAAGTAGCACAGTAGGAGGAGATTTAATCCACTTCTTCAAGATTATGGTGAGTCACCTCTAATCTGGTGGTGTCTCTGTCAAAGGCAGGTCCTGCTCAGCTGCCCAGGTCAGAGGTGAGGGGTTGTTTTGTGTTCCACAAGCACATCTCTGGGCAAGCACATCCCCGGGCAAGCACATCCCCGTGCCTGAGCCTGGAGGGTCGGGATCTGTCCCACAGGGCCAGCCAGCCCCAGCCAAGGGCATTCGGGATGGGTCACACCAACAGATGCACGGTTTCCCCAGGGAATGGGGAATCTTCCAAGGATGCCTGGGACACAACGGCCCAGGGAAGGTGGAACCAGCACCAGCCCTCAGCCTCTTGTTAGAGCCAGGCACATCCTACCATCCTGGAGCTCGGATGTGGGAGCTGTTTGCATCCTCTCGCTGCCAGATTGCTCCAAGGAGCTGGTCGAGCTCCACGACCCTGCCTCGGTGCCAGCCATCCCGGGTCGGCAGGGGCTGAGCGGCAGGTCCGCCACCGGCCAGCCCTGCGGGGAAGGACTCGATGCCGGATGCTTCCTGCAAGCTGCAATCTGAGCGCCCAGCTGACGGGCAGCCCCGGCCCCCACCTCGCCGCGGGGTGAAGGGCACCGAGGGCAGCACCTCCTGCCCCCGGCGGGATCCCCGCATCTCCGCACAGCCGCACCCACCCTGGGCGGCTCCGCACCGGGCCCCACGGCTGAAAACAGGAAATCCATCCGGAAAGGAAACACGGGCGGGGGGCCTGCCTGCACCCAGCGCCAGGGACCTGCTTCCAGCTGTGCCCACTGCAGGCAGCCAGACACACCCCACCGGCACCGGCCCCGCCGGTACCGCGGCCACCCCGGCTCAGGGCGAAAGCCCAAGCGCTCTCCCTGCAGACTCCCACCCTCGCGGGCTTAGATAGGGGAGGGGGTGCCCGCTGCAGCGCTTTGGGGTGCAGATGTGTGGCACAGACTCAAGAGATCCCTGCAGCACGCAGGCTCTGCTTCTTCCTCTGCASGGGCACGCAGCGAGCAGAGGGCAGTGGGTGCAAAGAGTCTCCTGTTTGCAGCTGCCCTGGGGCCTGGGGACAGACAGGGAAGAGACATTTCTCCCTGGCAGCCCCTTCACAGGGTGTTCCAGGTGGTCTTCAACCCTTGGGGACACGAATGCAGGTGATGGAGTAAGGCAGCAGTGGAGCCGGGAGGACACAGTGCCCACGGCAGCACGGAACACCCCCGGTCAGAGAGCAGAGCTCCGGCTGGAGCAGGGATCATGCTCACCGTGCCACCAAGCCGGCAGGGAGCAGGCAGAGCTCTGCAGAGCAAAGCACCCACTGGCCACGATGGCACCGACCGGCCACGATGCCGATGTTGACCACGATGCCAGAGGTGATGGTGGGCTGGGCACAGAGGGCACGTCCCAGCTCAGCTGCCTGAGCCCTGCCCAGCTCTGCAGCACGTGTTAAGCACCTCTTCAGCCAATTATCTCCTGCATTAGTGCCCTGGTGAGTGCTGATGGCCTAATCTCAGCCTCCACGTGACGGCCACAGTTACCGGCCACGGCCTCGTAACCCACTCTCAAAGCACAGGATGGAGARGGATCCATCAATTGTTCCTCCCTCCCCTTTATCTCCCAGCCTGGCCGTGATGTGACTCATTTGCGGCTGAATTCCCCAGGTCCCGGGGTCTCCTGCTCCCCCTACCCCAGGCCGGGCAGCGTGGGCAGGGGTGCAGGCAGGCAGCAGCCCCGGCGCGGGAGACCAGGCACAGCCAGGGCTTTTCCACCGCCGTTTGTTCCCTGCCAACAAGAGAGCGACTGACACATCCACTCCCCGCGGCACCAGCTGCCGCTCCCCAGCGAGGGGCCGTGGAGTCGGATCGCAGTAGAGGCACCACACAGCTCCCGGGGCCGGCGCACGATGGGGAGGGGGCTCAGGGGACAGGAGAGGAAGACGCTGGGAAAGGGACACCTTCTGCAGCAGGGAAGAACCGACCCAATACCCCCAAATCTCCCCCACCCCGACATCTCCCAGCCCACGGGACCACCAGCCCACTCCGCTTTCAGGCTGGGAAGAAAGAAGGGAACAGGTCCTGCAGCCAGGGCACAGGGACGCTGCAGGGGACAGCTCTGGACCCCGCTGCCCCAGGCGCCCCCGACTCCACAGAGCCACCGAGCCGCACTTTCAGATTCATTCCTCCAGCCTTTTCTGGAAATCCCAAAAAATAAAAGAGCTGGCAGGCGGCTCTTCCCACATGTGCCTCCGCTGCTTCTCAGGCCCCGGATGGACTCGGACATGCACAACGGATCAGCGCAAGCTGGGGACACTGTCCGGGGCTGACCTCCCCCCGGGCCAGCGCCCTCCCCCGCCAGCGCTGGCCCTGGGCCACCCGACCTTCACGTGAGGCCAAATCCCGCGGTGACGCAGGTGGTGACAGGGATGTGCCCGGCCCGGGGACAAGCGAGAGGTTCCCCACCCCCAGCCCGCGGTAGCCACGGGTGGCCCCTGGGCAAGGAAGGATGCTGGTCTGTCCCGGCAGGAGCAGGAGACCCCGGCAAGGTCCCCAAGGAAACCGGGCACAGACGGCGAGCTGGCACCAGCCTCTGGTGGCACGGGAGCACCGGCAGGTCCCCGTTCTGTCACCGCGTGGGCACAGCCCGGCCACCCCCGCAACAGTTTGGAACGAGAGCCTGGGCGGGCGCGGGCAGGGACTGGGGGTCCTGACATCGCTGTCCGAAAAACTGAATCGCGGGGACAGRAGAGTGGGGTCGGGGCATCACGGGAACAGCCCCCTCACGGTGTATTAATAGCACCGGAGCAATCCCGGCTTAAAATAGGATGCCGGGAGCAGGGAGGCGAGTCCCGGGCGGACGTGACCTATTGTGTCAGCGAGTAGCGCTGGCATCAGCACAATCAGGGGGGTTCATTTAGGAAAGCACACGTGTAATCCACTGCCCAGCCAGGTGGGAGACCCCCGAGACCCTCCCTGGGGCCCCGGCCCCACCACGGCCCGGCAACACCAACATCAGGTGTTRGGAGCAGAATGCAAGCTGGTCAGGCCAGGCCCAGGGCTCAGCGCTTGGCAGGAGAGAGCAGGGGAGAGCAGAAGCTGTTCGAGGGGTAGGAGTGGGCGTCTTCTCACTGGCAGGGGTGCTCTGAGCAGGACCGGGTGATGCTGCTGCAGGGCCGTGGCACTTGACAGGGCGACCCACGCACGCCCCGCAGAGCCGGGCCGGGCCGGGCCAGACTGTGCCCTTGGGGACCCTGGCYCCGGGCAGGGCGCAGGGACGCCGTGTCAGTCCCGGTGGGACCAGCACCGCGGGCAGGGGCAGCCCTCGCTCGCCCGGGGATGCGGTTGCTCTGCAGCTCCTCGGAGCCGCTCCACCGGCACAGGGGGAGCGAGGAGCGGCGGACAGMGGCGGTGCGGGGGAACGCAGGGCACGGCGGGGGGACACGGCTCGGCACCCCAGCGCAGCGCAGGTGCGGGGCCCGGGGCGCGGGGGGAAGCCGGGCCGGTGCATTGCCCGTGCGGGGCTCTCACCTTCATGATGCTGGCCCGGGGCGCGGCGGGCGCGGGGCTCCGCTCTGCCG